AAAAAAAAAAATAAGACTAGAACCAAGTCTCTACATCTTGTTTTTTTCTTTCAACACTTCCTTTTAGGGTAAGAATGTCACAAAGGGGCCTGATTCGACTTCATGTACCTTCCTCCCCTCCTCTCAAGAAAACAAAAGAGAAGCTACTGACCTCTTGTAGGTGTAGCCCAGGATGATGCCGGCTCCGATGGCAATGATGATCACCATCATGGTAATGCCCAGCACGTAGCCTGCCGAGGACAGAAGATAGGTCACATGAGCCTCAGCCCAGACAATCAGCAAATGATGTGTCTTGATGAATCTCACAAGGACAGGGGTGGGGCATCATACCCAGGGTTCCCAGGTCCTTTTTCTCCTTGGAATTCACTCGCACATGCTGGCTGATCCCAATCACTGGCTGCACAGCTGCTGCCTCACTCCGGGCAGGCAGGGCATTAGCAGGAGCAAACATCTGCACTTCATCTTCCTTTGGCACTTCAGATGTCACCTCAGTTTCTGGAGAGATTGGCAAGATCTGGGTAGTGGTCTCTGGAGGTAAATTGGAAAAGAATGCTTATCAAAGACTGGCCTGCATGAATTCCACCTGGCCCAAGGATTGGGGGCATGAAAAAAGCCAGTTATAGAATGCCCCCCCCCACACACACACACTGAAATCAAACCCTACCCCACTGGGGCAAGATCAGGCCTGAGAGAGCTGCACCATAGCTAGGTCGTGGAGATGTGAAGGGAAGTAAGAAAGGGCCTCTCCAGGCTCCCGTGTTCAAATCTTTGCCATCTTCCAGGCCCAACTCAGTTGTCACCTCCCAGAGGTCCCCGCCACCCAGGAAAAAAGCCATGACTCCTCTGGGCAGCTCACATTTATTGATCCCATGCATTTACCCATCACTATTATATGCTTTAGCTTATCCCAGTTAGTCCCAGAGAATTGTTTTTCTGCCTCAGAGATAATAAGCCTGCTCTCTGGCCCAGAAACTTGCATTCAAATCTGGTCACTGGGCCTCCCTGGTGGCACAAGGGGTTAAAGCGCAGCACTATGAAGCTATTTGCAGCACTAGTTCAATCCCCAGCCAGTGATGTGGCCCACATGGGGCATCTCACCACCTGTCTCTTAAGACTGCACCCTAAAATCTGTGTCACCATAAATAAAAATCAAAAGGGGGATTGTAATAGGGTGGTCCCCAGGAAAAGGGTAAGTTCCAGGTTCCCTGCCCCACCAGAGGAGGGTGCAGCTGAGCAGGGAGAAGAATCTGGAGAGGAGACTGAAGAGGAAGGACGCAGAATAGGAAGCCAGACAGAGACCTGAGGAAGGCACATGGCGCAGAGACATGTGAAGAAGCTTTGACTTTCTTCTTGGTCCTGGACTGGTTAAAACAGATGTGGATGAGAATAGAGGTTCACTACGGCACCGTTCACCTTGACTTTTTTTCTTTCCCTCCCAGTCTTGTCTGACCATTTCTAACCGTTTTCTATGGGTCCCCACCAGAAGGTGCTTTAGAATTGTGGAGGGCTTTCAGGCTTTGCTTTGGGCCAGTCCCTTTTGGGTTGACGTTTACCCACTAGGGTATGGGTGACTTTGGGTGTTTGATTTAGAAACTATGTTGTCTTTTCTGTATTGCACACTGATTGTATTAAACTTCCTTTGCTGATTGCTCCTCTCAGCAGTGTATTTCACTGCATCTGCCTGCCTGTACATCTGCCTGTTCTGCTCCCCATTGTCTCCGTGAAAAAACAACAACAACAAATACACACCTCTGGCCTGTACCCCACCCAGCTCTAGTATGCACAAATAATTAAAAAAAAAAAAATCTGGCCAATGTTATTGCCCCAGACAAGGCACTAAACTCCGCGTTCAGCAAACACCAATGGTTTCCTCCTCCTAGATGAGGGAGGGGGGTATGTGACGGTTAGCAAACAGCCTAGTACCAGCGGACACCCCACAGGCAGTACCCGCTAGTGACTGGCGAGGGGGGCCCGGCTGGGCCAGGATCCCGGCGCTCCCCAAGACCCCGCGCCACGCAGGAAGCGCGCGCCCGAGGGGCGGGTTCTCCCCTCCCACGGTTGTTTACAAGGCGCTCGCGGAAGATGAGCTCACTCCGAAGCGGCGGCGGCGACCAATGGGCGTTGGGCCCCTCGGCCTGGAGACTGCCCCGGCCAATCGGACGGCGCGGGGGCGGGGCGGGGCCCGCTGGCGTCGCGCGGCCACACGTGCGCGGCGGGTGTAACCGCAGCTCCCTGACAGCCCGGGGCCGGGGTCTCGCTGCGGTCCGGGGCTCCGCCGGGCGCCTACCTGGGCAGCGCAGGTCCTCGCAAGGCCGCTTCTCAGGAGCGCCAGCCTCGCCGCTGACGTAGCACCAGGGGCCCCGTGGGTCCTGGTCCGGGTTCCGGCAGTAGCTGTGGTTGCCGGCGCCTGTGAGGAGAGAGGCGCCCGGGGCTGAGGCCGAGGCCAGGACCGCGGCCACCACTCGCCCGCCACGGCCGGGGGCGGACACTCACCTGACTCAGGGACCGACTCTAGGCTCCTGTGTGCGTCCAACCAGTTGAGGCAGAGGAGGCCCAAGGCGGGAGAGGGCTGGTCCGCCCGGTACAGGTGGCCGTTGTCCCAGAAGCAGTCTGTAAGGAAGAGGAGACCCTCACACTCGCCTGAGTGGCAGGTGGCGAACCGAGGCGATGGGCATGGCGGGCAGAGGAGTCCAGGCCCACCCTGGCCATTCTGCCCCGTGGGGTACACAGAACCCTACTGGTCCTCCCGTGCCGTGAAAACCTCGCCTGCCGTGAAGGGTGGTTGTGAAACCGGAACAGAACGGAGAAGGTGCGGGGGAAGCCCCGAGCCAGTGCCAGTGCTGGGGACACTGCTCAAGTGCAGTGGGTGGGGACAGTGACACTTGTGGCCACTTTGGAGGGCAGTGCACAGATGGCCTGACCCCGACTCCCTTTGTGAAGATGACAGTGTGCAGCCGGACCTGGATTCCTCCCTGTTGTAAAGGCTGTGTGTTACTAACTCTGGCGCTCCCCTCTCGCGGATACCACACACTTCACTGGCAACACTCCCTCCCAAGAGCACTCTACAAAAGCCTTGATTAGGTCAGGCAGAAGAGAGGGAACCTGCCTCATCGCTGCCAGGATGTGTCTCCAAACTCCCAGTCCTCTCAGCAGGAGAGCCGGGGGAGAGAGATTAGGGAAAGCAGGCCTGTGCTCGGAACACTGAAAAGAACAGGACTTAGGGAACAGGGGAGATGAACCCCCCCACCCCAGTACCACCCACTCAAGAGCCTCAGGCAACGAAAAAGAAAGAGAAAGTGGCTATTTGCCTTTGTTCTTAATGGCAAAGATGGAGCTACAAGCCTGGCAAAGAAAGGAGAAAAAAAGCTTTCCAGCCAAAGATTTGTTTCCTGCCTAACCTAGTCGTGCTTGGGAAATGGGGAGTTTTACTCTTTACTGCTTCAGTAAGTTGCTGCAGAAAGGAAAGATTGTAATCTCACCTCCAGATCCATAGGCTTCTGCTAGGAGCATGTTGCTGACAAGGAATGTTTGCGCCCAGGCCAACAGCATCCTCACCTCCTTCGTCTCGCAGGTGGCTGACCAACCAGTGTCCTACTGGGGTCCCCTTGGCGCTAGCTCTGCCTTCCAGACTCAGCCTTAGAGTCAGACCAGCCCTTGTTATGTTCTTCTGGTAAACAGCCTCTCTTTAGAACTGGGAGCTTCCCAGCTAGCTTGCTGCAGCGATGTTTTTCGACTGAAAGGCGCCCCCTGGGTCCTAAGTCTCCTATGCCAAGCAAGATCACTAACCCTGAGCCAAGAGAGAAACTCAGCCAAGTGAAGAGAGGCAGAGAAGTTCAGGTTGTGCTTAGCTGCAGACCAGTTTGAGACCTGCACTGGCCGCATCCCCAGGGCTTGTCCACCCTGCGCTTTCTGTATATGTGAGTACAGAAAGAGTAATTATTGGTAGGGGAGGGAATCACAGTCACTGTCTTTTTAGGGGGGAGATTTTAGCTACACAACCAGGAGGAACTCAAGATCACAGAGAGGGCACAAATAAGAATATCCAGATGAGCTTTAACTCTTCACTGCCATTCTTGAAAAAGAAAGCCTTTGTGGTTTATACATACATTTATGAGCACTGACTTTTTTTTTAACAATGAAACTTTGCCAAGATCAGTAACATTCACTTGCTTATACTTGAGGCTTGGGACATCATATATAGTAGAAATGTAGAGGGGTTTTGAGTTGAAAACACATTATACAAACATTGGGGGTGTTTGCTCAGCTATATTGTAATAATCCTTTCCACCAGCCCTGAATTAAGATACAGGGAGTTCAGTAAAATATTTGCTAATGTTTAGTTGCAGTGATTTATATATCTATCATTAAACTTCACCACATCCATAAAACTTAAGGCTTTTGGAGTTAGGCACAAGGGCCCTCTTCCTGTTTGGCTGACAGTTCAAGTTCCCAGGGACCATCAGTAAACTGAGAGAGCAGAGTGATTCGCCAAGACTACCTTGTGACTCAGGCAAATCTCAAAATAGAAATGAGAGACTGTTTTGATCCCAGAACTTGCATATTGCAGGCAGTAATTTAGGGAGGGGAAAAAAACTTTACAAAATAAGTTTTAAATGTTTTATCAAGAAAACAAGCTGATGTCAACCCAACTAATCTGAAATGAATTTCAATTCACTATAGTTAGATTTCAGACATAGGAACCACAGAGAAATTTAGAAAGGTTTGATTTCAAAATGTAGACAGTATTTGATTCTTTCAGTCAGTTTAATAGGACATGTTACTCTGATTTTGCATTCAGTCTCTTATTTCCCCTTATAAACTTCTGATCCTCTGACTCCTGACTTGATCTACGTTGGAAATCATACCAGTCTATAAATTCACTTTCTGCCCCTCCCCCATGGCTCTCCCTCTCTCCCTCTTTCTCTCTCACTCTCTTACAGACACACACACACCCATTCATATTCATAGATATGCCAAACATTTAGAAGTTAACAGTTGTTAAAACTTTTATTAATTTTACAATTTTTTTGAGAACCTACTTACATGCTAGATGTAGCACTAGGTAGTTAAGACTACATCTGTAAACAAAGTAGCAGGTGATCTTAAATGTCATGAAAAGAGGTGATACAGCAAGAGAGTAACAGGGTGATATTTCCTTGTTAAAGAAGGCTTTCATGATTTGGTGCCAGTAGGACATTTCTTTTTTCTTTTTTTTTTTTTTTTTACTTATGCATACAAGAACTGGGGTTCAGGCCAAAGGTGTGGGATTGGGGATGAGAGGGTTTACCAGAGACTGCGTGGGGAGCAGAACAGGCAGATTGACTGAAATACACTGCTGAGGGGAGCAGCGAGTGGGACAGGAGAGGTCTGCTGGGCCATGTGGGTCACCTCCCTGGCTGGTTATTGAACTGCTCATTCTGCAGTGGCTGCAGATAACTTCACAGTGCTGCACTTTAACGCATTGTGCCACCAGGGACATTTCTATAGGCAAAAGACTGATGTAGGGAGGAGTTGTTGCACAATAGGACATTTCTATAGGCAAAAGACTGATGTAGGGAGGAGTTGTTGCACAATATTCCTTGCAGTCCTTAAGTCCTCTTATACCATTGCAAGAGAGAAATGATGTGTTTTGTCTCATTACATAAACTGAATGGGCTTGAGAAAATGAGAATACAATTTTTAATTTCAGATTGATCCCTCAACACCTAATTTATTGCCTTTGTATGCACAGAGTACTCAATTCTCTGATGAAGTCCTCCTGTTTACACTCGAATGGCTATTCCACATGATTATAATACTTTTCCCTCTGATTATGATAGAGGCAGGCTAGACACAGACCAGCACCTGTACCATTCTCAGATTACCTTCTGTGCGTAGACTGCCAGCATTTCTCTCTCAGGAGCCCCAAAATTCCTTGCCTATTACTTTTACCTAATTTTTCTAAATAAGAATTTCTGTCTTCCTTAACTTACACACCTTGATACAGCAAAACTTTCTCTTGTGTTATGTATCTTACCTGGAACAGACTGCCTAGAAAAGATGTAAGACAGGTCAGAGGAGGTATGTTTCAGCTTCTTCATCTCTGCTTTTTCTCCTCTGGTAGCTAAGACATTTACCAGGATGATTCGATTTTTTGTTTATTAGTACTTCAAAGGCATATTCCATTATACAGTCAGTACCTCCCTTCATCAAGAAAATCAGATTTAGTTCAGAGATGTGTCTGTCGTCATCACTGGTGATATTTTGATCTTTTTCTTATGATCCAGATTTGAAGTTTGTTTCCTGTATTAGTATAACATCGCCATATTTTATGACCTACAGTTGTTCCACACTTCTCTTTTGGAACTATTACTGAAAGAATTATATGATACTGCAGAAATCAAATACTTATTTTTGTAAGCTTTTATTCCTGGAGACAGCATTGTGAGCTGTAATACTCATATTTTGCTAAAATTTTCAGGGATGTTTGACTCTCAGTTTCATATAAAATCAATACTAATACAGAGAGACAAAACCATGCCTTTAAATCAGAGAATAGTCTCCAAATATTTCCCAAGAAGGTTGAACAGTTCATCTTGATAACAGGCTATGTTAGTGGAAAAGCTCTAATAAGAAAACCATAAAGCTTTAAAAAAGCTTAAGAATCCTGGGCCCTCCCTGGTGGCGCAGCAGGTTAAAGCACTGCACTGAGAAACTAAAGCCACTTCTGCATGAGTTTGATTCCCGCCTGCCCCGGAGGTGACCACATGGCACTGCAGATCTCTCCTGACCCGCCCGCTGCTCCCCTCAGCAGTGTACTTCTGCCTGTCTGCTCCTACTCTGTCTCTGGTGAATCCTCTCACCCTCCGCATCTCTGGCCTGTACCCCAGTTCTGTATGCGCAAATAAATAAAAATATTAAAAAAAAAAAAAGTTTAAGAATCCTTTTTGCCAGCTCCAAGTCCTTTTTTGGAGTAGGGCCCTCCCTGGTGGCACAGCTTTGGGACTGCAAAGCTTGCACTGCAAGCTGGTCACAGTCCCCTGCAGTGCGAGTTTGATCCCTGCCCCGAGGTGATCCACCTGGGGAGGTGATCCACACGGGGCTGCAGTCCTCTCCAGTCCCTCTCAGTGTACTTTGCCAATCTGCCTGCTCTGCTCCGCACTCTGTCTCTGGTGAATCCTCCCTCTGCCCCTGTACCAACTTCTTTATACATAAATAAATCTTAAAAAAAAAAAACTCTTTGGAGTATATTGGGCTTTTCCTGGTGGCACAGTGGTTTAAAGCACTGCATTATGAAGCTCTCCAAAGCCACTGCAGTACAAGTTTAGTCCCGGCCAGGGAGCTGACCCACATGGCTCTTCTGACCCGCTCACTGCTCCCCTCAGCAGTGTACTCTGTCAGTCTGCCTGTTCTGCTCCCCACTGTCTCTGGTGAATCCTCTCACCCACCGCACCTCTGGCCTATAACCCAGTTCTGTAAACATAAATAAGTAAATCTTTTTAAAAAATAAAAAACTCTTTGGAGTATATCTAATGAGTTGGGCCCCACTGTTCTCTCCATATTATATGCTATAGAAGTAGCTAAGGCTGCAGACATGGTTTGGTCACCATATATGTGCTTTGCTTATTTTCACTGCCCTTCCCTTAACAGCGTTACCAAATGGCACAAAGAGATGTGTTTTCACTGAGATTGTGATCAAAGATATTTGGCTATATAATTGTAAACTGGGGAGGGGATGATGTTACGAATCTTGTTAAGGAAATAATATAGTCAAAATCGCTGAACACCAAGGCCATTTCTTTGAAAATGTCCCCTTAAGTGACATTAAGTGTATTAGGTTGTTTCCATTTTGGTTCACCGTTAAATGTTTAGTAAGAACTTGAAATAAAGAAGGAAAAGAATCTAATACTTCTACAGAGATTAGAATTGTTCAAGGAGTAAACAGTAAAACAATCAAGAAGGCTTATTCTTACAGGTTACTTTCAGAACAAAACATTCTACACCAGGGAACTAAGGAGCCACAAAAAAACAGAGAACTTGGAATATCACTAAACTGGTTTTGAGAAATAAAGAGGAGAAAATTCCTGAATAAGAGTGGGTTTGCAATTTAGAGGCCAGCCTTAGAAAACACAGCTTTCACATTGATGAAAACAGTCTTCAGTGTCACAGGGAGAATTCTAGAGACTATAAACTTAATTGGATGGTAAAACCATGCTTATCCAGATGTAAGATAAAATAACTCAGGGAACTATAATTATGCTCCTTTTGGAAAGGAATCTAATATTCTCCAAACTCAGCTTGGAGAATCTTCAGCTTTTAAAATGTATCGGCATATGAGCTCTCCCTGGTGGCACAGTGGGTTAAAGTGCAGCACTATGAAGCTATCCACAACCACTGCAGCACCACTTTGATCCCCCACCAGGGAGCTGACCCACAGGGCACAGCAGACCTTTCCTGACCTGCCTGTTATTCCCTTCAACAGTGGATTTCATCTGCCTGTTCTGCTCCCCATTCTGTCTCTGATGAATCCTCTCATCCCACCCCATCCTCCCATCTCTGGTCTGTATCCCAGTTCTCCTATGCATGATAAAATAAATCTTTAAAAATAAAATAAAATGTATCAGCACCCAGTATGAACTTTAGCCCTGACATATAGCAAGAAAACAGTATGACAAATAATTAAGAGTGCAAGCTTTGTAAAGTCCTAGGCTTTAGTCTCAGCAATGAGTTATGATT